CACGTTTTCCTAATATGCAACTGCAGAGGCATCTATTATCCTGCACAACAGAGAGCTTACGGCAGCACTCTGCCACGGCCATTTCTCCTGCAAGTCAGGGAGAGTCTGGAAAGATGCTGCATCATCATGGGAAATGCCGGTGCTAGAAACAGGTGTTGTTTGGCAGCAATACTAAGAGATTTTCTATTCTCTCACCCTGATTGATGTTTAATACCTAGCAGAGAGAGACCTAATCCTGCTGTTCTGACCTGATAAACCAGGCTTAGATTTTGCATTGGCTTCATTCTCCTATATTAATTACCAGCAAATATGAAGTAATGGTGTGACAGCTGAGACCTGTTGTTACCAGGCAATATCTCCAGTTCAAACTCAAAACCTTGAAGGATCAAGCTAATTTTGCTGAGGTACACAGCAAACCAGAGGAATCCCCAGTAGGTCCAGGAAAGTAATACTCCTGTCACAGCTGAACCCTCCTGGGTTGTTGGCTCCGGCTTGGGTGCCATTGTGGGGTCACACTGACTATATACACAGGCCGAGCGTACACACACATATACATATGTACAGATATACATATGCTTACATATATGTTTGTATATACATGAGTACGTGTGTTAATACGTATATATAGCTAGACTGATGCCTTGACTCATTAGCCCCTCACTTTGTAAATGTCTGCATCAGGGATGCTTGTATTAACTGGAAATCAGATACACACAAGGAACAATAATTCATTAAATACACTGGAATGACCTCACTGCTGAGCTGGCTTCTTCCCTTTTCCCATTCCAGGTAGTGGAATGAGCCCTATTTCTAACCCCAAAGGGGTCTTCCTGAAGACCCAGAAATACTCAAAACTGGTGGTGGTTTCTGCTGTTTTGTTTGCTATTCTACATGACTTACAAAGGGCCTATTCACACACTAAGACGCTGGTCAGTACGTCCAGGTCTCCTGCGTGGCCAGGAAATGCAATCTATGCTGTCTCACCACTGGGTTTGACCTGCACCCCAAAGCCTATTGCTATTTTTTCAGCCAGGCTGCTGCTTGTCATCTGATTTGCTTGCTTTCAAGTAGGTCACATAATTTGAGGGGGAAGAGGAAAGCTCTCTCCTCAGAGGAGCATCGCCTGTCGTATTTTAAAAAGTTTTCTGTTCCCAGAGGAAAGGATTAAATAAGATGCAGAAGGGCACACGTGTATGTGTGCGGGCCAGCGAGCAGGTAGGTGTGCCAGCTGCCGGCAGCAGCACAGGAATCTCGCAGGACACGGGAACAAGGACACTACCGAGGCAGCCAGGTTTCCCAACATGAGGAACCCGTCAAAGCTGCTTGTTTTCCAGCCGCCGACCTCCACTAGCAATAATTGTTTACTTTGAAAGCACTCAGGGAACATGAAGCAGCACACTCCTAAGCCAGAAATAATCCTGTGCTGGCTCTTCACAATAGGTGCTATTGTGTTAATATACAACCAGGCAGCAGGGCAGGAAAATATCTAGGTCTCGTCTGCATAAGGAAGTGAATTGCTGCTGCTATAGCATAATAAACACGTTCCGTAAGGAAGCTAAATGTATTTATCTTCTCAAAAAACTAGGTTAAAAGATAGCTTCATCTGCCTTGCTTGTAAGCGCTTGCTTGTAAAAAATCAGCAAAGCTGTTGCAAGATCCAGAGGCTGAAATCTCTAACAAGGCAACTCCAAGCATGAAAAAAAGTGTATGTTATTTAGTGGGAAATAATCAGCTATTGGAATAATAATGCCAGTGTCCTACTGCATTCAGTATCCCTGGAAGTATTTTTAATAAAGATTGATTTATTTATTTTTTTTTCCTAAAAGATCATCTTTAATTCAAGCAGGAACTAATTTAGGGAAGCCCAAGGCTGGTGCTGTGCAGGAGGCCAGGCTACATTGTCACAACGGCTCCAATTAGTATTATAACCTGTTCATTACCACACTTACCCTGAAATTTCTAAACCACCTACAACTTTAAATCACCTTCCCCCTGAAGCAGCGCATCCCTGTGAGGCAGCTGGGCAGGCACAGCTATGGCAGAGTAACTCTGCAGGTCAGTTTTTGTACTTTGGCAAGCCTTGATTCAAAGCACTTGTCAGAACCATTGCCATGCTGTAGACAAGCTCTGCCTAAGGAGACTGACCAGCAGAACTATCACAGAACTACCTGATTATTCGAGAATAAATCACTTTTATTTTGGAATACGCTGTCAACACTGGGGAATTACTCTGGCAGAGCTGAGTACACCATTCTGGTCAATTCTCCCATGCAGACGTGCCATACGTGTGATAAGGCTGGAGAACAATCCCTCAAGAGAAGTAATGAACATTTTATTGGTTGGGATATTTCCAACTTGTGCAGGACAAAGCAATCTTCTCCGTGCTGAATGATCAGGCAAGGTGGAACTCAGGGTTGGGTTTTTTCCATCTCTAATTTCTGTGTTTAGTTTGAGAAGACATTGTGAACAAGACTAGCAAGTGGCAGAGGGGGGAGAAAAACATCTTGTCTGGCTCTGATTCTGCCAGAGGTGCTGTCATATTTGCAACATTAGTGGTACGAGAGGTCATTTCCTTGAAACTCAAGACAAATGTGTGATGCTGAAGCCACAGGTGTATGTAACAGCCACAGAGACCTCTAGAACCAACGCAGCGCCTCACACCCAGGCTGTTTGCTTTTTTTGTCTTTTTCTTCCTCGACCAGTGCCTTTTATGGGAGAAGCACTGGGCCAGACACTGGAAGGAGGTGGATGGGAAGGGATGCAGGATGGGAAGCTTGCAACGAGTGAGTGCTAGCTGCACTTCTAGCAGCAGGATCGAAGCCTGACAGAGCTCGAGGAGGCAGCGGTTGGTCATTTCCAGCACATTGATAGCAGCTTTCCCTGCCTCGATGCCAGCCCCTCTGCAGAGCCATGATCTCTGCTGCTCCTGTGGCAGGAGCTGCAGGCCTGCACCCACCTGCTCTCACGCCCCATGTGCGCTCAGGCAAACACCCCGCACCGCTGCGGCTCTCCCAGCTGCCTGCGCCCACAGGCAGAGCAGGCAGGTCGGTGAGGTGAGGAGGCAAAACTCGCTTGGGGTTGCAAGGGCTCTACCAGGCTGGAAAGGCACCTGACAACCCACCACTAGATGCAGGGGTGTCAGCTGGTGCTCAGCACGTACCCAGAGCTCTCCATCACCCCGTGGGGCACTTGGGCAGTCCAGAGCAAACACCCAGGCACCAACTTTCTCTGTCTAGAGGGAATGCGATTCCTGGGAACGTGATTCCCACCAGCGCCCAGGTGCTGTTTACAAGGGAGGGGCTACAAGGAAAGGTGACATCTTTTACTGAACCAACTGATGCAGCTGGGGGAGAAAAAAAAAATCAAGTCCGCTTCCAGAGATTTGAGAAAAACACATTATCCCTGAAACATTTTCCAGCTGTATCAACTAGCCTAATGGAACACATCATAACGCTCCCCACAACCCCCACCACGCTTCTGTCCTCCACAACTGCCAGAGTATGGCTGCTATGAGGGCAATTAATACCGCTGCCCTTGCCTCTGAAATCCCCTTAATTGTGCTCTCTGCGAATTGCTGGGCCCCAGGACGTTGCAGACCATTTTGCAGCAGTCTCAGCTGAAATAAGGAGCGTGGGATCGCACTGACCAATGTTTGACACTGAGCTTGCTGCTGCCTCCCCCGCCACATGGAATCTGGTATTAATTTTAATTTATTTTGTCCTGTCCAGCAGTTTGAATTCACAACGTGCTGGAGTTTGGTATTGAAAAGGCTCCTTTGTCATAAAGCACCACTAAGAGAAGGTGGGACCTTTTGGCGTGCGAGTATGGGCAGATGGGTCTTTTATACCTGGAATGATGATTTGGGACCGTGGGATAACCGCTTTGGCATGGAGAGCGTGTGTGTGCAGCTTACCCCGATAACCCGGCAGCTTTGAAAGTCGTTAGCTCCCGTATCGCTCGCTCCGTAGCAGGGTGGTCCAGAGCTCAGCAGAGGCTGCACATCAGTACTGGAGTAGTTAATGCCACTGGCGGTGACATTCTGCTCATTAAATTTCAAAGTTAACGCTGGTAGGAAGAGGAATGGGGCAGCCCACACCTCCCTGTACTGTCCTTACGGGCTGTTTGCAGGTGTCACCCTCCCTACCTCACGCAAGTCGTGTTGGAACGGTTTTATTTACTGCCACAAAAACCCCACAGGACTTTTATTTGTGTAAATCACCCTTCGCCAGTGCAGCGCAGACCTCTGCCTTGCGGTGGGCAGCGGCCGAAACCCCCCTTGGAAAACCACGGACCGCGCATGGCCCAGATCCCACCGGCCCCAACCGGCAAACGAAGGGCACTGACAGGAGCCAGCGGGGCCGGCTGGCGGTCCCCACAC